GCAATCCTGAAGATATATGGAGTGTTCAGATTTTATTAGCAAATTCAAAAGCAACAACAGAAAATGCAGCGAAAATATCATCTTAATTCTATCCATCCCTCATTCATAACTGCTGTTGATTGACAGAAACGCACTAACGCTATCAAGTCCCTGGCTCTATCTCGCAATGTAAGATACTGTATATGTAGTGTTTGAGTCTTAGGGACTGAAGTCATAGTGTTTGGTCCACAGAAACAAAGGGACAGTGTCAGCATCACCTCCAGTCTCTCTCTTTAAAACCTTCAAATCAGGCAAGAAATCTCGGGGTAATAATGAACTCAGACTTGAACTTTAACAGCCACATCAAATCAATAACATCTGCAGCCTTTTACCATCTAAAAAACATTGCAAAAATGAAAGGTTTATTGTCTAAATCAGACTTGGAGAAACTTATCCATGTGTTTGTCTCCAGTAGGTTAGATACTGTAATGTTCTGCTCACTGGTCTCTCCAAACGAGCTGTGAGACGCTGCAGAACATCCAGAACATCCAGAACATCCAGAACATCCAGAACGCTGCAGCTCGGGTCCTGACTCGAACTAGGAAGTACGAGCACATAAGTCCTGGTCTCAGGTCTCTGCTCTGGCTCCTGTGGCTCAGAGACTTTAAAGCAGCTCTGCTTGTACAAGTGTCTCCATGGCCGAGCACCAAAGTCCATCTGTGACATGTTAGTGTCATATGAACATCTCACACTCTGAGGAGCTCAGGGACCGACCTCCTGCTGGTGCCCAGAGTCACGACTAAACAAGGGGAGTCAGAGTTTCAGGTTCATGCAGCTAAAACCTGGAACAGTCTGAACATGTGAGACAGACTCTTCTGTGACGCTGTTTAAATCCAGGCTCAAAACATTTCTGTTTAACTGTGCAAATAACTGAAAGGTTTTCATTCCGCACTCTTCTCTCCAATTTATGTCTCTCTTTTTTTATTTTAATCTTCATGATTATTTATGTTTTGATTTGTTTTTATTATGATTTTAATGTATTTCTTATTCTGTAAAGCACTTTGAATTACTTTGTGTACGAATTGTGCTGTACAAATAAACTTGCCTTGCCTTAGGGTTCTTTCACACCTTCCGTTAGAACCAAAAGCTCTTAGTCTGGTTTGTTTTCGTTGGTGGGACAGCACGGGTCGCACTCGGATCTGCACTAAATCAAGCGGACAGAGACCTCAAAAAAGAGGTGGTCTCGGTCCGCTTGATTTTGCACCGAATGCCAAACTCTGGTGCGGTCCCTCTGATAAGAACGTGAACTCAGGTCCAAACCACAGACAGGAGTCCAAACGAACTATTCGAAATGCATCATGGAGCATGGAGGGGCAGGCAACCCCCGGTCCTCAGTTTTTTCAGGGCACACCCCAGCGGAGAACCCCGCGCTCCATTTAAAGGTTGTATGGAGGATTTTTTTTTTACTTTCAAATTGTCAATGAAAGTTTAAAATACCATTACAGAGATGGAGCAGCCTTGTAATTATGACCAAAAAAAAAGAATGAAAATCAATCAACTGTGGACATAGTGAGGTCAGATAAACATTAGCCAATAGAAAACAAGGCTACCTCATTTTCTATTGGCTGTTCGGTTGTCGATCAAACTCCCTACGTTTCTAGTGTAACTGACTCACAGGCGTGTGGGGATTACGTGGTTTATGCAGTGGTTCTTAGAGGCTTTTTAAAACTGTAGCTTCTTCGCAGATCGCACACGAAGAGAAAGTCTGTTTTTGAGGTCGCTGAAAGGAGAAGAGAAGGAGAAAAGGAGCAAAGACAAACTGAGGTGATTCTTGGAGATCTCGTCCAGCGATTGCGCGAATGAAGCAGACGAAGGGTCTAACAACTGACGTGTCGGTCGCTAAATTATTTCTACACAGGTCACTTCAATGGTAGTGATTTCTAGAGAAAAGAGGCAGGAGGAGGTGTTTCTACTGAGGGAGTTGTGGAGGAGGAAGGTGGTGTCATGCCTGCACAACATTTGAAAAAGGACTGTCGCTGTATTTATTTTCCCTTAAAAAATCCTCTATACAACCTTTAAGGGGTGTGACGGGGGCCAGGGTTGGGTTCGGACACCTGCCCCGTGGCTGATCGTCCGTAGGTTTTCGAAGTCCGGGCTCCCCTGGCCTAAGGAGCCAGCTTCCGTTTGGGGGGATAAGGAGTTGTGGGAAATTATGTGGTGGGCCATGCTTAATTTACCTAATATTATGGACTTTGAAATGACAACAGGGTGGAAAACACGTGTGATTATCCATAGGTCTACATAACATGTTTTTCTTGCATTTAGAGTGCCATAAAAGAACATGTTTTTCTGGACTTTGAGTGCCACGAAGCAGCAAGACTGACATATGTGGTCCCCGTGGCATGTTTCCACCCATGATAAGGTGCACTGGGTCAGCAGTATTGTTCATTTTCTTGCTGTATATGCTAAATCAACAAGTTAATGTTTTGTCAAGATGTAGTATAAAGCTACCCCTGATTTTGAGTTGGTCAGAGGTGTCGTTCCGGGGTGACAGTTGTACTTGGTAATCAACTTGAATCCTCTCAATGGAAAATGACGAAATAAAGTGGCCTGTTCTCTCGGATTCTCCATCTCCTGTGCTTCTTTTTAGGACACGCATTGAACCTTCCGAAAAAACCCACAGAGTGGCCCTATACCCTGGGGAGCGGCTCCGTGGGAAAACCACTGGGCGAGATGGACCGTCTCAGCTTTGCTTCCAAGAGGTTTGGCATGCAGGAGAGCCTCAGCGTCCCTGAGCCACGAGGAGTCACTGTGTACAGGAGCCTTGGATACACGTCAATTGGACCAATTTTGGTTTGTTTGCAGGTGTGAAAGGACCAGACTGGAGTCTATATGACACAGAAGAACTATTTTATTGCCTGGTGTGGACCAAATAATCAAACCAGCGATGTGAAAGCGCTCTTATTCAGGAAATTCAACCACAGAAAATGCAGCAAATACCAGCTTATAGCCAGTCATTCATGAGCTGTATTGATTGACATGTGGCTGCCCTACACCCAGGCCCTATCTCGCAATCGTGAAGATGTATGGCGTTCCGAGATCATACTGACAGGAACACACTAACACTTCAGCAGACCTTTGCCGAGTCCCTGGCCCTGTCTCGCAATGGTAAAGGTGCAGCTTAACTTCACACTTCCATCGAGACGAGAGAGAACAGTCAGTCAAGAGGTCGAACGGCGGACCTACACCGCGGCCCTATCCCGCAATCGTGAAGATATATGGAGAGTCCGGATCTTATTTAGCAAATTCAACAGCAACAACAGAAAACGCAGCGAATATCAGCTTAGAGCCGCACATCCATCCCTCATTCATGACTGGTATTGATTGACAGAAATGCACTAACACTTATGAGGCTTTCCAATAGACCTGTGCCCCCGCCTGGCCCTATCTCGCAATGGTGAGATATATGCAATCCCCCACACCTTATTCAGCAAATATTATCTTAAAACCACGCAACCATCCCTGATTCACGCCCGGTATTGACTGACAACAGAGCACTTAGTCGTGTGGTCGCCCAACGGACCAACACCGAGGCCCCATCTCGCAATCGTGAAGATATATGGAGTTCTCAGATCAGATTCAGCCAACAAATACAACGACAAGAAATGCAGCAAATATCAGTCAAATTTCACATAACCATTCCATCCTGATGACTGAAGGTGTTCTGTAGATTTCTGCTAAGGCTCTGGCCCTATCTCGCAATGGTAAAAACAGAGTCCGGACTAGGCCTGTCATGATAAATACTATGTGGACTTATCGTTCAATACATGACAGATGGAACAGTAACTTTTGGCGGTTTTGGGGACTTTTTGGTTATTTTTTTTCTATACTGTAATGAGATTTGAGCTGTTTTATGAGTCATTATAGATGCAAACTAACTACTAAAGTTTTGCAGCTCATTTTTTTGTAACAATATTGTACATTCAGGTTTATTTTGGGGCGATAATTCTGTATGGTTTTGTTTCAGTATTATTGTTTATCGTCTGTATTTATTAGAGGTGTAACAGTACATGTATTCCTGCTGAACTGTTTCTGTGTGGGATGTTCGGTTTGGTGCAGGACTGTGCATGAATTAATTTGCACAATTTGTGTGTGTGTTTACATTCCACCACTACATGTGCAGCTACACGAAGGCCCAGCTTTTTAATATTCACGAGGGAATTCATCCGTAAGTGGGGTGGCAGTGTTTCCCGCAGTGCTTTATAGTTAGTTCGGTCAGTTAACAACAATTGCCCCCCTCCTTGACTACGTCCCTTCAAACCGCGTGAATCCTCGCAAAACTACAGTCATCGCACCCTGGTCCTCACTTTCGTTGTTTTTTTCTGTCCAGAAATATGAACATTGAGTAAAATTTCATGCTGGAACTGTTAATGCTGCGCTTCACTTTTTGAAAAGTTTTGTTTACTGTTTACAAAGAATTTTTTTTATAATAGTTCATACATTTATTGCATAGTTGAGAACATTGTATTTAACTTATTAGTATTACCAAGCAACACTTTGCAGTTATTTTATTTTGTATTTCATTTGTATAATGTTAAAATAAATTGTTGGTTTAATAAACACACAAATAAACAACAAGCAAATGCAAATTTTGTTCCCATACTGTACTGAAAATGAACCAAACCTTGACCTCAAATCCGAGGTACGTACCAAACCATGATTTTTGTGCACTGTTACACCCCTAATATTTACGTCAACGTGATTGTGACAGGCCTAACCCGGACCTCATTAAATCCACACATCCATCCCTGATTCAGATATAGCATTAACTTTCAAGAGAGCAATAACACTTTTGAAACTGTCCACGAGAACTTTGCCAAGTCCCTGGCCCTATCCCGCAATCGCACAGCTCTAGTAAAGCTGCGCAAAGATCTAGTCCTCACACCTTCTTCAGCAAATACATGAAAAACCAGCGTCTCGCCACAGCCCGTCCTTCATCCGCGCGGTATCGACAGACTCACCGTCATGAAGCCGTCCAGGAGACCAGAGTCGGGTTTGGGCGGAGCCTGCAGTCTCTCCATGGACCACTTCTCGATGATGGAGGCGACCAGACTGTTCTCCGTGTTCAGGATCCTAAAGCCCGTCATGTTCACGCCGCTGTACCTGTACGGCTCCACGTCCAGCGCAAACAGGTCCTGGAAGGTAAAAACGAGACAAATCAGGAGGGACATGAAAGCTGCACTGTGGAACTTTTACTGGTAAAGGATCCACCAAATGTTTTTTTTTTTCTTCATGGAGATGTTATTGCTTTTTTGTCTGGAATGTTCCACAGTATGATATTAAACCTTTTTATTTTCGTTGAGACCAAACCAGATCAAGTTACAGGTCAGATCTGTGGAGAGGCGACCTTGCTCGTAGTCAGAATGCCTGTTTTTCTAGATATTTTTGTGCTCTAAAACCACCTGTAAGTGAATAAATGTAAAGTTGAGCTGTTTAATATCACACTGTGGAACATTCCAGGCAGAATAATGACATCACCATAGAAACAAGCAGGTGATGGACCCCCAACCAAAAATCGAGTGTACCTTTACGAACACTATAGAGGTACACACATGTTTAGCACATAAGTCCTGCAGATTTAAGATGAGTTCTTCACTCTATTCCACCTTGTGATGTCATGTGGTTTTACAGGAAGTGTTCCATTGTGTTTTTAAAATCCATACACCTTCACTAGAATCAATTTCATTTCTCTCCAGCGACTAGGTCAGGAATCAGAATACACTAGACGGTTCACAAGAATCCCGGAAACGCGAGTTCGGGCACCAGCCAATCAGCGAAGAGTCATATATGTGTGTTGTTAATGATTCCTGAGATCGAGGATTTAAAGCCGAAACAAAGAGAATGTTTGGCGAATTTTATCAAGGGGAAAAACGTTACTGACCTACTTCCAACGGGATTTGAGAAAAGCTTAATATATCAGTTAGCCCTGTTAGCGGCGCATTACAAACATCACGACCAAATATCAACGAATGGTTAAATAAAAAAAAGTACCCGCCTACCGTTGAGTGAACGAATTCTAATGCTGCGAGACGGTTACAGACAGTTTCTACGAATTGGAACTGGCTGATGAATCAGGCTACCAGTGTGGGAAATTATGTGTTGGTCATGCTAATTCAGCCAATATTATGGACTTTGGAATGACAACAGGGTGGAAAACACGTATGACTATCTATAGGTCTACATAACATGTTTTTTTCTGTACTAGAGTGCCATAAAGAACATGTTTTTCTGGACTTTGAGATGCCACGAAGCAGAAAAACTGACATATGTGGTCCCCGTGGCATGTTCCCACCCATGATAAGGTGCACTGGGTCAGCAGTATTGTTCATTTTCTTGCTGTATATGCTAAATCAACAAGTTAATGTTTTGTCAAGATGTAGTATAAAGCTACCCCTGATTTTGAGTTGGTCAGAGGTGTCGTTCCGGGGTGACAGTTGTACTTGGTAATCAACTTGAATCCCTCTCAATGGAAAATGACGAAATAAAGTGGCCTGTTCTCTCGGATTCTCCATCTCCTGTGCTTCTTTTTAGGACACGCATGGAACCTTCCGAAAAAACCCACACCAGAATCCTGCAAGATACCCGAGTACTTGCAAATAGTTGCTGAAACGGGCGGGTGTTAACCCTCTCCAGGCAGGCGTTGCAGATTTGCAACAGCTAAATTCCAATTACCTACTTACTCCACATCCATATTTTATGAGCTTTTTTTTACTCAGGAGCCTTTTCTCCCATCCATGCTGATAAACGTGGACGATGCAGACTGTGCAAGAATAACTACACACGACCTGCCAGAAGTGCAAAATACTTTTTTTGTTTACAAAGGATAAAAAAGTCAGGATTGTATATTACTACCCCATATTATAATTTTCCCCAAATATCAGATTTTTCCTGATACAAAAAATTTATTTGAGCCTGAGAGGGTTAAAGTTCTGGAATTTTACGGGTGATTACGCGGGGTGGTGGTGATACACATGGGCAGGTCAGGTGCCTACCAGTGATTAGGCGACTACGAAAAGTTGAAAGGAAAAAAATATTTTAAAAGCACTTGGTACTTGGCAGGTACGTACTACTGGTTATTTAACCCGCCTATTCAGTCCTCATCTAGTGTCATGTTCTCCGTTAAAGGTTGTATAGAGGATTTTTTAAGGGAAGAGAAATACAGCGACAGTTCTTTTTCAAATGTTGTGCATGTGTGACACCACCTTCCTCCTCCACAGCTCCTTCAGTAGAAACATCTCCTAGTCCCGCTTCTTTACTCTAAAAATCACACTTATTTACAGCCTCGTTCAGAATTACTGTTGAAGTTTCCTGTCTAGAATTAATTCATCGACCGACGCGTCAGTTTTTAGACCCTTCGTCTGCTTCATTCGCGCCATCGCTGGACGAGATCTCCAAGAATCACCTCAGTTTGTCTTTGCTCCTTTTCGCCTTCTCTTCTTCTTTCACCGACCTCAAAAATTGACTTTCTTTCGCGGCGAACTGGTCGTGGATTCTCGTCCGACATTGTGACAAACTTTGTGCGAACTGCGAGGAAGCGACGGTTTAAAAAAAGCCTCTAAGAACCTCTGCATAAACCACGAAATCCCCACGCGCCGGCGAGTCAGTTACACTAGAAACGTAGCAAGTTTGATTGACAACCGAACAGCCAATAGAAAATGAGGCAGCCTCGTTTTCTATTGGCTGATGTTTATCTGGCCTCAACACATCCACAGTTGATCGATTTTCATTCTTTTTTTTTTTTTTGGTCATCATAATTACAAAGCTGCTGCGTCTCTGTAATGGTATTTTAAACTTTCAGTTTTACAATTCGAAACAAAACAAAAATCCTCCATACAACCTTTAAGAGGTGCATCGAGAAAAAAAATACAGTTAGAATGCTTTTAATTAGGCATGGGTGGGTCACGGGTGGAATGTTTACTCTGATATTGTGTTGGGAATGGGTCTCCAACAATGAACCCGTGCAGAACTCTGATGTAGACAGACTAATAATAAATAATAATAAAGAGTTGCTCATGTGTGAATGAAACAAAACACAGCTCCAGGTCTGTTTTTGAGGAGGTAAAAACATTATAACATGACTTAAATCTCACAAGAGTCAATTTTTGTGTAATATATTTTTGTGTCATATAGAACCTTTAAACAACAGGTGAAAGAAAAGATGTGGATTTGTTTTCTCGTCTGGGTTCGTCTCGTCCCGTATCGATAAACGCTCGCGCTCGTTGACAGGTCTTACAAAATGAGACGGTCCAAAAACATCTGATAAAAATGCGTTTTCGTTGATAATGGGCCTAAAGCCCGTTGGCATAATTCGTCTGGGCGAGGTCATGTGACGACAGGCTTGGCTGTGATTGGCTGTCAGGAGTAATGAACAGGAAGCGGCTGAGTGTCCAGACAGATTTTGACCTTCTGTATGGAGAGCGCTGGCACGTTTCCATTTGGCTCCGGGCTCGTCCAATCACAACAGACATTTGCCCTCCATCTCTCTCTCTCTTTCTCTTTCTCTCTCTCTCTCTGTCCCGCTTCTGTCTCCCTCACCCCTCCATTTCTTTTTTTTCTCTTTCTCTCTCTCTCTAACCTTAACCTTCTCGCTATCTGTTTCTCTCTCTCTCCCTGTCTCCGTCGCTCTGTGTCTTACTCTTCTTCTCCCTCATTCCTCTTCTCTTTCTCTCTCTCTCTCAATCCCTCTTCTATCTCTCTCCCTTTTCCTCTTCTGTTTTCTCCGTGTGTCCTCCCTCTCTTTCTCTTTCTCTCTTGATCTCTCTTGCTTTCTGTCTTTCTTCTCTCTCTCTCTTTCTTTCTGTCCCTCTCTTTGTCTCTCTTCTTTCTTTGTCTCTCCTCTCTCTTTCTATCTCTCTGTCTCTCTTTCTTTCTGTCTCTCTTCTCTCTCTTTTCTCTCTCTCTCTTTCTTTCTTTCTGTCTCTTTTTGTCTTACTTCTTTCTTTGTCTCTCCTCTCTTTCTATCTCATTCTGTCTCTCTCTTTTTCTCTCTCTTCACTCTTCCTGTCTCTCATCTCTCTCTTTGTTTCTCTTCTCTTTCTTTCTTTGTCTCTCCTCTCTATTTCTGTCTTTCTTCTCTCTCTCTCTCTCTTTCTTTCTCTCTCTTTCTCTCTCTTCTATCTTTTTTTGTCTCTCCTCTCTCTTTATGTCTCTCTTCTCTCTCTCTTTTTCTTTCTGTCTTCTTTTCTTTCTTTCTCTCTTGTCTCTCTCTTCCCTTCTTTCTGTCTCTCTCTCTTGCTCTCTCTCTCTCTCTTTCTGTCTCTCTCTCTTCCTTTTTGTCTCTTCTCACTTTCTTTCTGTCTTTCTTCTTTCCATCTCTCTCTCTCTCTCTTTCTTTCTGTGTCTCTTCTCTCTTTCTTTCTCTCTCTTTCTCTCTCTTCTATCTTTTTCCTCTCTTCTCTCTTCCTATCTCTCTTCTCTCTCTCCTTCTGTCTTGCTCTCTTCTTTTCTTTCTTTCTTCTCTCTCTCTTCCCTTCTTTCTGTCTCTTCTCTCTTGCTCTCTCTCACTCTTCTCTATCTTCCTTTTTGTCTCTCTCTTCTCTCTCTTCTCTTTCTTTCTGTCTCTCTTCTCTCTTTGTCTCTCCTTTCTTGTCCTTCTCTTCCTTTCCCTCGTTCCTCTTATCTCTCTATCCTTCCTCTCTTATGTTTTTCTCCACGTGTCCCCCTCTCTCTCAGTCTCTCTTCTCTTTCTCTCTCTCTGTCACTATTTGTCTCTCCGTCTCTAACTTGCTCCGTGTCCTTCTTCTCTCGCTCTGTCTCTCTTTCTGTCTCATTCTGTCTTTCCATCTTTTCTTACTGCCCCTCTTCTCTCTCTTCATCCCTCTTCTGTCTCCCACTCTTTCACTCACTTTTTGTCTCCTCCTCCTTCTCTCTCTATTTCACTCGCTCTCTCCATTCTCTCGTCCTCTCTCTTACCCCATCTCTCGCCTTCCTTTCTCTCCACCTCTCCTTCTCCTTCCTTCCTCACCCTCTCTCTCTCTCCCTCCCTTCCCTCTCGATGTCTCTTTCTCCCTCTGTCTCCTTCTTTCCGCTCTCCCTCCCTTTCTCTCGTCCTCTCTCTTACCCCACCTCTCCTCTCTCTCTCTCCCTCCCTCCCTCCCTCTCTCCGTCTGTCCGTTCGTTGTCCTTGTCCACGTCG